GTCCAATGTCTATGTACTTTCCTTTTGCATATTGACAATTGATAATGAATTATGCAATGTTGTCAATAGTAATGTAGATTAAGTTAAAATCATATAATAGGGAATTCAAGTAAAGATAAAAGTGTCTTAAGTTGTCGAGGATTGTTGGAATGTAAGTTCACTCTAGGGCCAGAGGTTGTCATTCCATGCTTCAATTAGGTACCAAAGAGTGATGAAGTGTTCTCTTGATTTGTTCAAGAAACAAACAGACCTTGTGAGACTTTTGGGTTGCTCCCTGGAGACCTTGTAAGGAGGAACTAGCTTTGATTCCTTTAAGGAAGTCTGTCAATACAAAACCCTTAAGAATGACCTCTTTTATTTTTTATTTTGTTTATTTATTTTTTATAAAAAGGAAAGAAAATAAAGAAGATTAATTGATAACCTGTATGAAAAATCTAATAGAGTTCTGTTTGATGAGAAAGTGCTCTCGGGTAAGTGGCAATGCGGCATCCCTTTTTGGGCTACTATTTTAAAGCTACCTTCCAGAGAAATCATAGAGTTGTCCATGACATACATGCTAGACTATAATATCCGTCACCAATTAAGATTGGCACAGTTGGTTGGACCTTCCACCCACACTAGTCATGTCTTGAGTTCGATTCTCAACTTTTCCTCTTTGATAGGCAATATGTAATCTCACTTTAAAACCTTAATAAGGTTGGTGGTCTTGCCACCTTATATGGAGCGTGTCTATGCTAATCTAAATATTTTTCAAGTATGAAAAAAAAGGACTATAATATCCATCTTATAAATTTACATTTATGGTACCTACAAAAAAAAAACATTAAATAAGATATTCATTCAACTCCCATTAGGATATTCCCTACTACAACACAGACGGTTTCATGATGCAATTGAGAATCTCATAAAATTCTTATCTTTTTTGGGGTTATGCCTTTCATGATGTTAGACAACAAAAAATTCTCATGCTCTTATTTCGATTTCTGTGCTCAAACTTTTTTAAATAAAAAAATAAATGAATCTCTCAACAACTATCTCTGCCGCGGAAGAAGGCTCTTCTCCTGAAAAGGAGAAGTGTTTCCCCCATCTTTTTTACCATGAAAAGAATTGTATCTTATCTTTCAGATTCCACCGGAATAAGTCCATTTGACTTCTACAGCCCAAGTTGTGTTGGACAGCAAGCTGTCAAGACCCATTTTCTGCATAAACTGACCTATATGCAAACATAAACTAGGACTATACCATTTATGTAGAAGTTATGAAAATTTAACCTAAAATTCTCTCATTTCTTATCTTTCAATTAGGACAAACCACGTGTCATTTGAATTTCTAGAGCTCAAGTTAAATTTAAATTAGTGCAAGCTGTCTGATTATAGACAGTAGGTCCTGCCTAATTTCCATTGTCAAACTCCAATGTGTTTCTACAGTTCTATCTCTATTATAGCCATTGCTAACATTTTACAAATCTTGCTTGACTCAACTGCATTTCTTTTGTTTTTTCAATATTCCTTTGGAGTTTGGAGGAAATTTACCTTAATTGAAAGGTTTGAAAAGCACAGAAAAAATCATTCAAGATTACACTAAGGAGCATATTACTTTTTGAGTTATGCCAATAATCGTATCTAACTTGTTCACCACAATTATGATTGTCAAAAGTTTTTCCCAAAAAATTAAATATGAAACATGCAATCACCATTAATCCAATTGATCCCGAAAATAAAATACATAATTACATAACAAAATCTACCCACCAATACTAACCGAAAGACATTCCTCCAATTTTCATATAGCCCCAAAAATAAAACCTGATAGCACATTTTTCGAATAGCAGTGTGAGAATACATTAAAGTAGTTTATTTGTTCTATCATATTAATTTTTCCAAGAGTTTAATACCAAAACAGAGCATGCCAAGATATCGCGAAGCCAATTATATCTGAAGCTGAGGTAATAGAGGTAATAAAACAAGTCTGAAATCTTATTCATATGTAAAAGAAAGAGCACTTAAGCAAAAAAGTATTCATTTACAAGCGAAGAAAAGGCTTAGTTCAGCTCACCTCTTAAGTATATAAAACAGAAAAATAGAAGAAGGGTTCAGCTAATACATCTAAATAGAATACAACAAAAAAAAAATCTCATAATCAAGTAAACAATAAGAAAGTAAAACAACTAAAAAAGGAAAGGGTATTTGTTAGAAATATATTGTAATTAGGGTTTCCTTATTTTGTAATTAGGATTTCCTTATTTTGTATTAAGTCAGATTAGATTAGGTTTGGGCTTAGCCCATTAGTCTGTTTATATATTGTACAACCTTCATCAGTCAATACATACAGTATTATTTCAAATGTTCCTCTCTTCTCTCTCTTCTCTCTCGTTATTTAACATGGTGTAGCCGAGCCCAAGAATCGCCATCTGGTTGAAACTACTTGTGCCTTGTTAATTGATGGTAATGTTCCATACACATTCTGGGGTGATGCTATACTTACTGCATGCTATCTCATTAATCGCATGCCATCATCTATTCTCAATCATAAGGTACCTCACTCTATTTTATTTTCCCATCAAACTTTATATACTTTAACTCCACATGTATTTGGTTCTACGTGTTTTGTTCATCATCTTGGTCCAGGTTTGGATAAATTAGCTCCCAAGTCTCATAAATGTGTTTTTCTGGGTTATCCTCGGTCTCAGAAGGGTTACCGTTGCTACTCTCCCACTTTACGTCGATACTTTATCTCGGCAGATGTCTCCTTTTTTGAATCAGTTCCCTTTTTTGGATCCTCTACTACTCTTGTGGATACTGATTCTGTACATTCGTCCTTCCCAGGTGACCTTCTTTACCTTCCGTCTTTACCCGTCCATGTTTCTGACTCTCCTTCTATCACCTCTTCTGCTGATGAGATCGAGCATAGTTCATCAGATGTATCTGTGGACTCACATTCAAATGCATCTCCTCCCACGGGTTCGGTCCCACCTTCAAATAATGATCTTCACATTGCTCTTCGTAAGGGTACTCGTGATACTCGCCCTCCGGCCAGGTATAAGTCAATATTAGTTATCATCGTCTTTCTCCATTATATTTTGCTTGCCTTTCCTCTTTGTCCTCTGTATCTGTTCCTAAGACCACAGGTGATGCACTTTCACATTCGGGATGGAGACAAGCTATGATTGAGGAAATGAGTGCTCTTCATCATAATGGCACATGAGACCTGGTGCCTCTTCCTTCTGGAAAGTCTGTGGTTGGTTGCAGATGGATTTATGCTGTTAAGGTTGGACCTGATGGTCAAGTGGATCGTCTTAAAGCTCGCTTGGTGGCGAAGGGTTTCACTCAGGTCTTTGGCTTGGATTTTATTGATACTTTTTCTCCTGTGGCGAAAATGTCTATTGTTCGCCTTTTTATTGTCATGGCTGCTATTAGCCATTGGCCTCTCTACCAACTGGATATCAAGAATGCTTTTCTTCATGGTGATCTTGAGGAAGAAATTTATATGGAGCAACCTCCTGGATTTGTTGCTCAGGGGGAGTCAGGTCTTGTTTGTCGTCTTTGTAAGTCTCTCTATGGCCTCAAACTATCTCCAAGAGCTTGGTTTGGTAAATTTAGCAGTGTTGTTCAACAATTTGGCATGACACGGAGTGCAGCTAATCATTCTCTCTTTTATCGTCATTCTGCTTCTGGATCTATTTATCTGGTGGTATATGTGGATGATATTGTCATCACAGGCAGTGATCAGCATGGGATCACTCGATTGAAATAACACTTATGTCATCATTTTCAGACTAAGGATCTTGGGAAACTTCGATACTTCTTAGGAATCGAGGTGGCCCAATCTAAAGCTGGTGTTGTGATATCTTAGAGGAAATATGCTCTGGATATTCTTGAAGAAACTGCTCTGTTAAATTCAAAGTCTGTTGATACTCCTATGGATCCAAGTACCAAGCTTCTACCAAATCAGGGGGAGCCCTTTTCAGATCCTGAGCAGTATAGAAGATTGGTTGGAAAATTGAACTACCTCACAGTCACTCGGCCTGATATTTCCTTTGTAGTTAGTGTTGTCAGTCAATTTCTCAATTCTCCATGTCAAGAACATTGGAATGCAGTCATTCGTATTCTTAAGTATATCAAGGCATTTCCAGGGAAAGGCCTTGAATATGAAGATAAAGGTCATGATAAAGTGGTTGGGTACTGTGATGCTGATTGGGTTGGTTGTCCAACTGATAGGAGATCTACTTCTGGGTATCGTGTCTTTGTTGGAGGCAACTTGATTTCTTGAAAAAGTAAGAAACAAAGCGTAGTTGCCAGATCAAGTGCTGAAGCAGAATACCGCTCCATGGCGACTACTACTTGCAAACTCATCTGGCTTAAACAGCTTCTCAGAGAACTTAAGTTTGGAGACACTGGACAGGCAACTCTCATTTGTGATAATCAAGCAGCTCTTTCATCAAATCCAGTGTTTCATGAAAGAACCAAGCATATAGAAATAGATTGCCACTTTGTTCGAGAAAAGATTTTTGCTGGTGAAATTAAAACTAGCTTTGTACGCTCTAATGAGCAATTAGCATATGTGTTTACAAAATCTTTAAGGGGCCCTTGAATAGAGTTTATATGTAACAAGCTTGGTGCATATGACCTATACGCTCCAGCTTGAGGGGGAGTGTTAAAAATATATTGTAATTAGAATTTCCTTATTTTGTAATTAGGATTTCCTTATTTTGTATTAGGTCAGATTACATTAAGTTTGGACTTAGCCCATTAGTCTGTTTATATATTGTACAACCTTCATCAGTCAATATATACAGTCTTATTTCAAATGTTCCTCTCTCCTCTCTCGTTATTTAACGAAAGAGAGCATGCCAAGATATCGCGAAGCCAATTATATCTGAAGCTGAAGTAACGGAGGTAATAAAACAAGTCTGAAATCTCATTCACGTGTAAAAGAAAGAGCACTTAAGCAAAAAAGTATTCATTTACAAGCGAAGAAAAGACTCACTTCAGCTCACCTCTTAAGTATATAAAACAGAAAAATGGAAGAAGGGTTCAGCTAATACATCTAAATGGAATACAGCAAAAAAAAAAATCTCATAATCAAGTAAACAATAAGAGAGTAAAACAGCTAAAAAAGGAAAGGGTATTAACAAAGAACAACAACAATTACAAAACCCTTCTGAATTTACAAGAAACTTTGGGTCTTCAATTGTGTCATACAATATTTCCCTCTTCATATGTAATGTATTCAACATTATTATTGCTTAAAAGCTCATCAACATTGTCTTCTTCTTTGCTTCGAATTAAGTCCTTATCCCTATGCTTGAGAATAGCATTGCCTCCTATACTAGCTGAAGCACTAGCCTGCAGTGCTTCTATATACAAAACCTTGACTAAATTCCTAAATCTTCGTCGAAAAGTTGGCATTCGGGACATGGAAGCCACAATCCCTTGTAGCCTGCAAAATAAATGTAATGTATCATGGAATACAATATAGAATCATTAATCTAACCTTCTCTAATAAATATAAATTAGAATAAGATATTATAACAATCAATTAGGAATACTACCAATCAATTTCACCGTTAAATTGATTATGTTGATCCAACGGTTATATTTATTTTCATCTTTGTATGATTAAGATTCCCCATATTTAACGTGAAAGCATTAAATATGAAAAATCATAACCATATAAAGGTGAAAATAAATATAAAGTATTAAATATAAAAAATCATAAATATAATATAAATAAATATAACTGTTAGATCAATATAATCGATCTAACGGTAAAATTAATAAATAGTAACATTAATAATAACCCTAATTGGTTGTTACAACTTACAATATCCTACCTCATATAAATTTTTGTCTTGAAATGATACTTTATATAATTTGAGAGGCTCCGTAACCAAATGATTACGAGTTCAATCCTCACCGTCCTTTTATTTTAGAGTTTAATCTTCAGTGTCCCTTATTTTATTAATAAGTAATTAAATATGTAAAATTTCTAACATAAATAAATGTCTCTGTGTATCATCCCTCCTTTAAATCCAAAAAACTGGAGTAAGAGAACGTATTAAAAAAATTAATATAAAATCATTAATGTAATCTCAAAATTAGATCTTTACAAGATCATTGCAGAATGAATTAGTTGAATACGAAACTATGCTGTATAAATGGAAAAATTAGAATATAAAAAGAACAATATCTACAAATGTACCTTCTAATAATGGCTTGCAACTGTGCTCTTCTAACATAGTCATTAGATGGGAATCCAGAACTATCCCACTCCTCCGGTAATTCATTTTTGCATCTCATAACTAGTTCTTTCAGGCAAGTTTCTTCAATTTCTTCCAACCTAAGGTTCTTTAGCTGCTCTTTCATGATAAGTAAAGGTCCTATAAACCACTCAAACACTTTATCCTTTGGTCCATTCATCCTTGTCAACTCCACATAATCAGCTGCAAATGCATATGATGAAGCATGAATATATTTATGTTTTCCAATGGAACATAGGCTTGAGTAAGAGCAGTACAAATAACCAATCCATCTGAATTAAATTTTGCTGAAGTTAGAAGACATTGCAACAATGACCAGGCTGGTAACTTTATGCCTAGCTTTTTGCAATTTCCTTTTAAAATGCATTCCTCAATTTCCTTCACACTTATTAGACCATCTCGAAGGACTATCCTTCCATGCACCTCGCATGACTTGAACAGCCAGTCCCATACCTGCAAAAGAAAAAAAAAACTGAGCTTAGAAAAATTCGTGGAAACAGGTTAAGTCATTTTTTCATGAATCACCTGCACAGGTCTATATTGCTGAATTTTCCACTTCAAATTTTTGGGTTGTTGTGAGACATGTTTTGAATTTTGTGAATCTTCTCTCCTATTTTTCAAATTATTATCACTGCCTCCATGGTTTTTCATATCAAAAGCATGCTTCATGTTTTTGCGGTATGTTGGCCTGGCTGTCACAAGGACTCACAAGAATCAGTGATCAATGTCTACCACTGAAAATGCACTTTCACAAGAGCAATATGGCACTAAAAAACCACTCCAATTAAACCCTGACTAGAAAGGGTAGAGATGAAGACAATCTTTTACCCTTGCATATTTACAAATAGACTACTTCCTAGATTTGAACCTGTGACCTCTCAATCACAAGGTAGCAACTTTATTGCTGCTTCAGGCGCCCACTTAGCAATATAGTAAAGAAAATCTTATGTCACCTGGGAAGGCAGGATCCCTCTCTCAAGTAGAGTAAATCATTCACATATTCATCAAAAAGTGAAACCACAGACACAATGTAGGCCAATCCCATCTGCATTGAGTCTTCCTAAAAATATACAAAACCTTTGCTTAATAATTTCTCTTAAAACATGCATAAATGGTTAAAAAAAAATATTAGTGAATAAACAAGAATCTTAAGAGAAGTTGGAGCATCATATTTGACTTACCTGATGCACAACAACACCGCTGTATAGGCCCAGGAAAAGGCTACAAATGCCAGATGCTAATACAGCCCCTATAACAGCCAAAGGCCAGAGGATTATAGCAAGGCCAGCAAAAGGGACACATTCAGTTTCTAGGAATGGTCCTTTTCTTCCAATCAAATCTTCTAATAGTCTCTTCCATCCTCTGAACAACATGTATGGGCTCTTCCATATAGCAATAGATGTGATTAAAGCCATATCAAATGGCACCCCAACCAAGATCACCAACAAGCAACATGGTAATAGTGACAATCTAGAAAGAAAAGGATTAAATGTGTCTAAACTATTCAACTACAAGACTAGTGTTTTATATCAAACAACTAATTTAAGGAGAATAACTTACCTGATATCTAATGGCTTTTCATGAGGGGGTAAATTTTCTCTTAGTTCATCCATGTATGAAAAATAGGAGTGGAAACAGAAGTCTGTGACATCCTGAACCACTATGCAGCTGCTCTCAATTGTTGACCAACAACCATCCTGGTATCAGAAATAAGTAAATGACATTGACAGTGTGGCATTTTCCAATGCTTCTTCCTAAATAAATATTTGGTTTTTGCGTTCAGTAACTTTCATACCTGGAATTAATTCATCACTCAACTAATATAAAACATAAACAAATACAGAATAACATATGAATGAATTGGTATTATCATAAGATTGGCCAAGGGGGTGAAAATTTTAAGCGTGCATTTTGAATATGAACCAGATTCCTCAATTTTAACAGAATACTGAACTTACCCATAGAGTTTTTTAGTCAATGAGAGAAAGTGAAAAAGGTTAGGAACATATGTACTTCCATAAGCACAGTCACTAGGACAAAAGGAGCAGAGAAAGATACATAAGCAGAAAATTCACACTTACAATGAAGCAATGGTAAAATTTGTCGGTAACATTCTCTCCCACTGCCTCAAAAGTTGCAATAAGTGGAGCAAAAATCCCATATCCAATTCCACCCAAAAGGCTTCCAACAATACCAACTATTGGCCAAAGTAACAAAGGAACCGGCAAACATATCAGCAGGACAACCTTGAGGACCAGTCCGAACCTCTTTGTTCTATTGTCAAAGACCAAAGTATCCAAAAGGGTCAAGAGAAATTGAAGAGAGAGATTTAATAGAATATGTGAAACAGTGAATCATACATAGTTGCATTGCAACTCCAAAAGAGTTTGGAAGGAAAATACAACCTTGCCACACAGTAGTATGTCCAAAAAACATGAGCAGTCCAAAGTCCAATGAAAATAGCGGAATTTCCAATGACAATAATTGCAAATGCAATTGGCCCTATCAGTGCAGCTGCCAAAAGGAACCACCTTGTCATGAAGGGGTACATTTACAATGCACTCTTAACATAACCATGAACTTTAAAAAAAATTAAATTAAATTAAATTAAATGGTGTATTAGCAGAGAGATTCTATAAGGTATGAATATGATTATTATACTTTATGAGTCTGAGTCTAAGAAAATGAAGAGCAAAACCAAAACCAAACCAAAATACATGTACAAAAAAGCAAGAGGAAAAGAAAAAATGAACCTTTGATGATGCCAAGTATGAAGAGCAAGAAGAAGAATGGGAGGAAACAAAAAAAGCTCCACAACTTGGCCAATAACCCTGTAGGTGCATCCATGATGGGTATATCGCAGATAACATTGAGTTGTATTACGGTGAACTGGTACTTTATATAATAAATTATCGCCATCAGATAACATTTTTCATATCATAAACACAATAAATGGTAGGCTTACCACTTGTTAAAAACAAAAAAAAAAATAACACAAGTTTCAATATCTCATAACATTAAAAAATTATCTTCTATTGTCAGAAAATAATTTACCATAAATTGAATGCATTTTTTTTAAATATATGACTTATATTAAAATAATGGACATAATATAAAAGATTATGTGAAGTGCAGTGGACAGATGGGATGATTGTGAGCATGAGACGTGGCTGGTTGGAAGTGATTCGTGTCGCTATTTTAATGAAATAAAGTGTATCTGTGTCAGTGTGATGTGTTGATCATCCGTGTAACTAGGAAGAGTGAGTCACGATCCACGACTGCAACATATCTCTTGGGATTCCCATTTCTGTACCCTTTAAAACAATCACTAACTTGTGGCTCATTAATTGCGTTGATCATAAAGAATCCTTCGTGTTGACCACACAAGACTTAATTCAATATTTGTTGATTATACAAAATTTAATGCAGCCCAGCAAAATTTAACAATTGTAACTCCGCTGGAATTCGAACTCAAGTTATCATGGGATTACATTTGATTATTGATTAATATGTGTCATTTAATATATTTATCATATCATTTAATAGAATTGTTTCAAAATTACATCAAATAAGGATTGAACTCTTGTTGTAAAGTTATAAATTATAGCATTTACCACTAAGTTATATTTAATTCTTAGTTCATCTGCACCAATCTATTAATTGTATCAGTGATCTATTGATCCAATATCCTAATCGAATCAAAATCTAATTCGAGTTTTATAACATTGCTTCTAAATTTTAAGTTACATAAACCTTTATTTTGTGATCAGACAAGTACAACTTCTTTTTATGTCACTTTCCAAAAATGTAGCGAATGATAAAATTTGTATTATCTTATGTTGTATATATATATTAACAAATTGAAATGCATGTAATGCAGATGCAAGTGTAAGACGTTCCGGTGTCCTGAATTATTGAGTTGTGTATCACCAAATTCATTCACCTTGACACACATTTGACGACCATGGACATCTGATTGACGATAATTATGTGTTTGGAGTTTAGATTTTTTAAAATGAATTTGTTTTAATAATGCGTAAAGGTAATTTATCTTTGAATTTTAATAAATTAACCTTACGATGCATTTTGAAAACAAATTTATTTTACAGAAGCCTTATTCATATAGTTATTTTTGACATTTTAATTGTCTCCATATCAGAATTTTAATAAAAAAAATGTCATATTTCTTGAAAACATCCTTATTAATGGAAGAATTAGGGGTATAACTAGGTTCGGTTATGCTAGACTTTAGCTTAAATAGGCCAGACTTATATATATTGGGTCTGACTTGGCCTGTTAATCTGTGTAGACCCCAAATTACAAGTTTGATCTAACCTATATTTAAAAAATAAACCTAAACCTGTTAACCTGTTTAAGCCTATTAAAAATTCAATAATTAAAAGAATAACTAAAATAATATTATTTTATTATTCAAAATTATTAAAATAATAATTTTATTCATTTTATTTAAAATAAATAATATGATATAGACCGGCCTGTAGGTTTATAGGTTCGATATGTACAAAAAAAATCTATGATGTGTTTTCTAAATAAGTTTTTTTAAAAGTTTAGACTTGTTCTATTTTACTATTTGTAATAGGTCAAGTTTGATCTAATATAGGTTAGGCCGTAGGTCCTATCTCATTTACACCATTGTGAAGAACTACTAATTTGGCACGATCCTGGGAAAAAGTATCACTATGTTATGGTTCTTAAATTATTTTTTTAAATATCACAGATGAATGTCGATATTAGATGCAGCCGGACATGTTTCTATTACGTGATAAAAGAATGCGAGTCAATCCGTTAAACTCACCTTCTTTCGTCATGTGACAAGAGAATGATTTCTCAAATATATATATATATATATATATATATATATATATATATATATATTTGCTAAAAGGTGACATATTTTTCGTTGTCCCTTATTAGTGAAATAATAGGCTTATACATTAAATCTATTGCTTGAACTCTTGAAAGTGTCCTTTAAGCATACCAGACTCTATACTACTACTTAGTACACTTGTCAATTAAATCTGACCCAATAAGTACATATATGCAACATAATTCCCATGCTTCATATATGTATATTGTTTTTCTATACTAGACTTGCTACTAAAGGCTCGAGTTTGGTGTCATGTGAATTCTTTTTTTAAACTATTTACCACTAGCTGCTTCCTTGAAGCTAAATTCAATGTTCTAGGTTTTATTAAGCTCCAAATTGAATGACTTCGTTTTATATGTAATGTAACGCCTAAAAAGATCGAAGAATAAGGTGTACTAACCAAATAAACAACTAATAAATTATCATTTTAAATCATAAAATATTTATGTAACATAAATATAACCTCCCAACAAAATTTACATAATTATTTATTGTTCTTCACTTATAACACGAAGTGGCTACAAGAATGTGTTGACATTTTGTTTTGGTGTTAAATTTGGCATCTTACCTGCAAATCATGGCAAGTGTATAAACAAGTTTATGTACCTAGAACTATCAGCTGTAAGATTACTTCAAAATCAGTAACTGAAAATTTTGTCATTAGTCACTAAATATTACACAACTCCAAGTCATGAATATTGCAGAACCATAACATACAAATTATTTTTTAGATTTCTCAACTCTGCTTCATTGATTACTCGATTAGTCTTGGTCGAATTTTGTCAGACACTCCTAAAATAATTTTCTCCATTGCCAAGCCAATATACAGGTTATAAGCCAGCCAGTACATACTCTAATTGTACTATTCAAAGGTTCCATTTGATTCATGAGTCAAAAGAAAGAAGGGCTATCCTTTTCCTAGTTCCGATATTTTAATTAAGAACTCATTTTCAAATAAGCTGAACATCAGTATATTTGTTTTATAATCTATTCACTACAAACGGAGGTTTGCACCATTTTCGTTGATTTGTAAGAAACTAAAATGAACATGCTACATGCTGCTTGTCTGCTCTGACTACCGTGAATCAAACTGGGAATGAAATTTTGGAGAAATAAGTGCACAAGATAATATTATCATTTCCCACTTGAACTTCCTTCCTGTCCAAGAAACAAAACCGAAAGAGATCAAGAAACAAGAACACTTGTTATTTGATACGAAGCTTGGGAGAACTCACCCCAAAAGCTAACTTAAAAGGTAGGAGAACCCAAAGTCCATATAAACCCCATATTAGTCACCATATAACCAATGTGGGACTCCAAGTCCCATACCTTGGAATAGGATCGTAACATTCCATCACACTCTACAGCCCCAACGCCCACGAGGGTTGGCTTTGCGCTAGTTTTTTACTAGCCTACAATGCTAGCATCATCACCCACACCACTTGATTGCAACTGGAAGACATAGTGGAAGGCTCTGATACCAATTGATACGAACTTTGAGAAAATCTCACCCCAAAAACTAGCTTAAGAGGTGAAGAGCCCAAAATCCATATAAACCCCACATTAGTCACCCTATAACCAATGTGGAGCTCCAAGTTCCATACCTTGGAGTAGGATCGTAACACTGTTTAAGGCAAGTTGAGACCCCACCCACAGGAGCAGAAATAAAACATCTAAGATATAGAACATTTAAGCTAGACGCAACCGAATATATGCATAAGAGATATAAACTTAACAATCTTACCACGGAGGGTGAATACGGATCAAGTTCCCAACTTCAACGTCAACGTTATCGCAAACCCTTTGACTGAAGATAATGGTGCTTTGACCACTTTTGCTGCCACCAAACCTCATTCCTTTGGAATTATCTTGTAATAGAAAATTCTGCAAAAACAATCAATCACTTTACCGAACACTAAATATTGGGTATATCTTAAATGTAGGTGGTTGTTCCATTTCAAGCAAAATGATCATCTGACATTAGGAGCAAAAGTAATGCAATAAAATCAAAAGGAATAGAGTTAACTGTATCTTTTACATGAGAACATGAATATAGGGTGTTGGGGATTTTCCACCATACAAACTACTTAAAAAACCAGGAAATTAGTTAGTAGGGTAGTCATTTTCATCTATATATATATATATTTTCTAATTTCCCACTTTAAGGAAGTAAAATAGATTGACAATCAGGTAGTCATTTAGCCATTTATATTTTTTAAAAACTTCCAATATTAATTGCTAAATTAATATAAAATAAAAGTCAACAAGCATTTAAAGAAAACAAAGTTTTTTGAAATGTAAAAATATCAATTGAAATAATTAAAAGCCTGTTTAGTATCAGATTTATCATGCATTATAGGACAACCAAACCTTTTCTTGAGTATAAAGTATACAGTTCAGAGGCAATAATAAGCATATAAAAAAATCTGCGAAGATAAAATTTCAGTTAAAATTTTGTTGATTTTTAAAACTTCACCTCACCTCAGTGTACTTGCCAAATGAGCAATGACAAACACACAGCTTTCCGTCCAGGTATCTTGAAATGATTTTTACATCAACACAGCCAAGTTCACCTGGGAATTTTCTCTATAAAAGTCAAAAACATAAACATCTGTGTAAACTCAAATAAAAATCTGCTTCATTTACTACTTTATGCACCTCCACTGCCCCAAAATAAAAGAAAAATTACTAAGGAATGATGGTTTTAGTAATAAAGAATTCTTAAATCGTGTTTTACTTGGACAAGAATGGAAAGGGCAGAGAGCGTAAAAGCAGAAGTTTTACTATCTGGCCTAGCTCCAGCTTGTAACTTTTTGCGGAAGTCCATGTCTATTTCTTTTTCTTTCAGCAACACCTGCTGTAGTTTTCCAAATATTCCAGCTCTGCACAATTTGGCAAGATAACCATGCACGGAATTCAGAATTAATTAAATTTTTTTTTTTCAACAACACAAAAATACCAAAAAGCTACTACTTTATACCTCAATGAATTAAGTGCTCCAACAAGAGTCCCTTCACCGATAACAGAGGAAGTACCCAAAGCTTCTTGAAATCGATCAGCCATGGTCTGCATTTTCTTTCTGGGAAAAGTATTTTTCATATTTCGATCAGTTACCTGCAAAAGTAAACAGAAGTATAGCCAGTTATGACAATAAACAAATAACTACAAGAGCAATCATAGTGCAGATATACCTCATTGTCACTTGATGATCCACTATCTACAGGCTCGGGAGAGTTTTCACAGTCAATACCGGTGTCTTGCAAGTGGGATCTACTATTCTCAAAAAGCTGCACTGTTTTTCCTCGTCTTTGACTATCATGTTGAAAATACTGGAATAGAGGCAGCAAAGATCTTATACAGGATAGAAGTGAACAGATAGGTCAAAGAATAAGGGAAGCATCCACCAAAAGAAGAAGAAAGGAAGCATTTCGAAAATTTCCACCCACCAGATCACTCTTATCTTGGAGATTATCAAAAAGATCAGTCATCGAGCGCTGATTAAATCCATGTGCAAGGTCTTCTGTTTCATCGGGCTCAGTGCCTGAATTTATTTTGATTCTGCCATCATTTTCAAGAAAATTTCCTTCTAAATTTGCAGAAGCCTTAGGATCAACAGCTTTCATAATTTCAGGTAGTCTATCAATATTGGAGATTGAAGGACCAAAGTGCCCAGATTTGTGTGAAAGTCTTGGCTTAGCTTTGCTCCAGAGGCCTGCAACAGTTATCGATTTGATAGAATATTTCAGGTATTCTTCAGGCCACAACAGTTATTTCCACGGTCCACCTATACCAAGATGCATCTAGATAGTAGAGAAGAATTTCCCTTCATCAATCAAAATGCAGAAATATATGCAAAAATGGTGTCCGATTCCATCAGGAAACATATGATGTATACCATTATATCCATTTTCTTAAAACACAAATAGAAAAATTAATAAAACAGGACATGTACAGATTATTAAGCTCAAAACCCCGTGCCTCTCGCTTTATCTAGGAAATGTCATGTCTTTCAGATTCCAAATCCATATTTCTAAAGAAACATGACAATTAGTCTCGCAGAAATTTATATCCTTATTTAGAACTTTTTAAATTATATTAAGGTTTTTCCCAACAAAGGGGAAAAAATCAACCAAAAACTGAATGTAGTAAAATTATTGCAGGGAAAGCAACAAATCATGGCCCAGATCAAAAAGTAGTAAAAATCGATTAGTTACTTCTCCATCCTAAATGTTTAGGGTCATACATAAGCAACATAATGTAGCAACCAATAGCCTATACTTCAGCAATCTCATCAGTCATAGATTAGGAGTTAGGAGAAGCGTTCATAAATTCAACTTCTGATTGAATGTAGTTCTCAAGAGAGACATTACTCCATATCAGAGCCTAAATTAATTTGCCCATCATGAAATGTAGCACAGAGAACATTATAGATGCTGAGTGGTATTACAAAATCTGCAGCCAGTATTGGGATGACTAAAGATACTCAAGTAATCTGAAAGACTAAAAGGCACATCAATTCTACAAGATATACCACAAACAATAATTTCCAGCTTCCACAGGAAATTGCAAGTTGTTGAGATTGCAGAGATTTAGGTAGGGAAGGAAGAAAAGAAAGAACAAAGACTAAATAACATGAAATTAGTATGGATTTGATGTGTTATGATGTAATACAAACTACAAAACAATAATCCTTATTTACACTAATATTAGATTCTAAATCCTAATTAAATAAAGAAATAACGAAACTACTCCTAAGAGATCATATAAGATACTCTAAGCTATTCTAAGATACAATCAAGATATTATGAGATATTTTCGATATATTCTAACAGTAATTCATGATCGAATCTAGAAGCTTGTATTTTCTTTGGAGCAGGTACCGGATTTAATTGTTTTGGAGCATGTAGCATGAGGAGGTACCGGATCTATTTGATTTGGAGCATGTAGCATGGGATGCTGAACATGAAGCACTTTCTTTGGAATGTAACAATGCTTCGGAGTTTCCATTTGTATCTCTAACTTGTTGATTTCTGATAAATCGAGGACCACATTTGTGAAGCTGTCTTGCTGACAGGACAGTGCTACCCTTTAGAGTGAACAAACAGAAAAAAGAATGAAATTATTTAGCAACAACAGGGACAAGATAAATTGATTCACAAGCCGAAAAAATGGATAAAACAGATGGCTATAAGATCAGAAGGAAAATATTCTATGCGAACTTTGATGAGTACCTCATCTTGAGAAATGATATCTTCATCACTTGAATTGGCAACTATCTCACCCGTGATGTCACCGAAGTCTCCCTCCTTGAAGTCAGGCACTTCAACCTCATCTTCAAGGGGTATCTGATCACAGCAATACAATAATAAGAAGAAGAAGAATAAGATAGTTAGTTGTAGCACGGGTAGTCTTGGCAGTGTTGTCGTCATGTGATTCAAAAGGCCATAGGTTTATTCATGTACTCAGTCTCTTGCAAATGCGAAGTAAGGCTAGGTTGTTCTGCACACTTTTGTTTGGATACACTAGTGGCATTGAGATTCGAACCTACGACCTTATGTAAACAATCGAAACCCATCGCCATTAGACCAATCCTAGTGCCTTTGTTTTTTGGCTTATTAGTTAGTTGTAGTTGTAATTAAAAAAAAAACCATTGGAAGAGTAAAGGGAACACAAAGACATGCCTCAAATGATGAAGATGATAAAGTGGTGCCTTTCCCAGCCACATTCTGATTACAGATTCCTGCGTAGCACTCTATTCAGACTTAATAGAAATCCATGGGCAGTTATAACTAACAATAAAACAGTTTCTTTATCAACAACTAAGATAGTTAGTTGAGTCACCTTTTAGAAATTCCAACCTCACTGGAAGAGGCAATTCTTGCTATAAAAAAAATAAAAAATAGATATTGATTACATACGTGATGTGAAAAACGTCATAGAATCATAAAATTCCAAGTAGCAGCAACTACTTACAATTCCAATATAAAGTAAAAGCAATCAGTTAGGGTGTGAACCTTGTTGGTGGCGTCCACTGAAACGACATTGTAATTGTTGGGGAAAACGTCGTTTAACTCTTCAACATCTTCATCAATGCTCTCATCTGAGTCTGGATTGTTCTGTAAAATTAAAATGCATGCTCAATTAGGATTAGGTTGGATAATAGAAACTAATGAATAATTAGGAAGAGGGTTTCAGAGGAAATTTACGCGGAGTAACATTGTAGCTGCACGATCAGAAGGTTGCGTTCTCATTGCTTAGAACAAACATGTTTCCACCGATCAAGATGGATGCAGGTTCACCGGGTAATAATACCATTCAGATCCTCGCACCCCCGATTCTAATTTTGTTTTTATTTTATTTTTTTCTTCAAAGTTACTTAATTTTGAGCTCACTTATTACTTGCATTTTTTAAAATTAAATTCTAATAAAAGAATAATTTGGTCTTAGCATGTATCAAATGTTTTTAGGGATTTATACTTCTTATGCAACATGCAACGTAAGAATAGCTTTTTTATGCTACACTCATATCGTTTTACGTTCTAATATTTTTCATATTTTTATTTACTTTTTTCCAATGGGGTCCATCTAAGTATATGTGTGTTGCAAAAATTCTCATCTTATGTGATATAAGAAGTATAAACCCCATGTTTTTAATATGGTAATAGCCATGTATTACTCTTAGGGTCCCGCTAACTAATCTTAAAATATTATAAAATATACTAAATAATGGTAGTTCAGTTAACGACACAGAAATAAGCAAATGAGAGCGAGAGTATATATTCAATTTAAAACCTTAATCTCGGTACCCGCCCTGAATCAAAATAGTCGCGAAGCGATGATTTGATTAGAATATTCAAAAAATATATATTATAAAATAAAGTAAATACCATTTTAAGTCTCTAACAAAAAACATGGTCCCTATTTTAGTCCGTTACAAAAAAATTAGTCTTGAGGTTCTTGATAAATTTAAAATGAATCCATTTAGTTAAAATCGCGGTCCCTCACAAATTCAAAAAAACTCACATCAGTCCTTCAAAATGACTAAAATGGATCCGCTTTGAATTTCATAGAGACCAGATGATTTTTTTTTTTTTGTAAGGAATTAAAGTGGGGATCAAACTTTTTTGTCAGGGACCACAAAAGATAAAGATATTTACTCTATAAAATATTATCTTTTAGTAATCATTCTTTATATGGGGACATCAACTTAACGTGGGAGGAAGTCTCTTGTTCCAGACCCAAGTCTAGACCATCAATGCAACTTGTGGAACAGGAACTCTCTTGTTCCCAAACAGCCACTTCCCTTGCTATTTGGTGAAATAACAATCATTCAGTTGATGACTCGAGATATATCTTCTTTCACCTGAGTATCATTAAGAAAGAAATCTTGTAGGCAAAGCCTAAAGGAAGTAATATTTTGGGATGAATGAGCAATTTTCCTTGAGTAAACACAAGACCAATGCAAACTGGTCTGTTGCCCTTTGATTTGTATTAATAATTTCTAGGTCTTGTCAGTTTACTTTCAATAACGAATTTATCAAATTATGGGTGTTATGGTGTTTTTCTTCTATTGTATAGTATTATAGTGCTACTGTCTGGAATTTTTTTTGCTTGTTTCCTTATAAGGTAACAAAGCCCAGGTTTTAGATTAGTTATGAACAACATAAGAGACTAACCAAAACCAAAGTAAAAACACTAGAAAGAGCAATTTTGAGTGCGATCAAAATATAATAGCTTATTTTAGTTCTTGTTTTTAGTCAGCCCATATTTTAGTTCATGTTTCTTTAGAGTTAACAAAAAACCACACCTCTTTTATTGCTGAATCATCTTAGCTGTGTAAATAATGATAGGAGGGATTCTATTATTTAAGGAAAGGGAGATTATGAACTCTAGCTTTTTAACTTGTTCTTGAATGCCAGATATACAATAGTAACAACAATCAATTTGAATAGCCCAACAAATCTTAAAACCTTGTTCAAGTCAAAAGTGAGAAAGAAAAGTGTATAATAGTACAGAACAACAATGCTGAGGAAACAAGCAGTAATGCATTTGAGAGCTAATCTCATCTTTGTTTAACTGAATTTACTCAAAATATGTTTTTGAAAGATCTCTTAGATTCACGTTCTGCCCTTTCTGTTTCTCCAAAGGATGCTCAAGGCATAGTGCTTCTGGTAACAATAGCATTGGAATGCCTGCATTCTAAACCAAAGTCCTGACCATCAATGCAGCAAGTGGCTGAAGAACTTTGTGGTTCCTAATTGTCACTACCTTTGCCTCTTTCTATGAAGTTTCAATATATCAGTTGATTATTCAAGAGATATATATTATTCTTTCATTTGATCATCAAGAAAGAAATCTTGCAAGCAAAATTTAAGGAAAATAATAATTTGCTGATGAATGAACAATTTTCCTTGAGTAAATACAAGAAGTCAAGACCAATGCGTATGTTGGTTTGTTGGTTTACATTAACAACTTCTAGCCATTTTTGGTTTACCTTTGTCCTTTTTTATAAACTTTTTAATTTTCCTTCACCGAGATCGACAACTGAAGTAGACAAATTTATCAAATGATAGGTGTAGATTGTGGTGCTAGAAAGTAGAAACCTTATTCAGTTATGATTAGATTTTCAATTTAAATAATTAATTGATTTTAGCTTTAGTTGACACTACTAAGCCCTTTATGATCTTTAATTCTTTATAACGTTATTTAGAATTTTCTCTTGTTTCCCTGGATCATAAAGCCAAGTCTCAAATAAGTTGTTTAGAGGACTAGAAAGAGCATGTTTGAATGCGATCAATATAATAGCTTAGCTACTTATTTGTAACCTAGTTAAGTTAAGAAAAAAAAATTTGGCTTAAAAATTCTGAATCCAAGAAATTAGTGGAAAAATATCAATTATATCATGCAAGAAAAAAGCCCCGAGTATTTATTTTTTCTCCTATTTGTTTTGGGTCATAATATCATTATGCAAGAGACAAAATTCAGTTCATACAGATTTGGGAAAAGCCTTAACGATAATACATAATTAATGCTGACAGATAGTAAATTTTTCTTTGATCTACAGAAGGATGAATTAGTTTTTGAGCATGAGAGGAATCATGTAGAGTTTCATTTTGAGAATAACATCTCTCATTTTAAAGGATATAAGCTTTTATCATTTTAGCTTTTAACTTACGAAAGAACTTATGATGAGGAACACTTTTAATATCCCAAATAAAATTTAATGTCATACCTGAAGATATAAAAACAAACTCACTTTCAACATTCCTTTTAACATTGCTGGCAAAAAAATTAAAATATTGTATTTAAATAAAATAATTACGCATTTAATGTTGTTTCGTAAAAAATTACACATCTACTGCACAATGTGACGCCCCATTGGGGCGTCTTATCCATGGGAGAGACGCCCCAATGGGGCGTCACATGTGACGCCCAAAACTAGCGTCACATGTGTGCTCTATATATTTCCTCACCCCCTCCATTCAATTCACACCTCTTCTCTCACTCTTCATATCTCTCTTCTCCACCAACATTCCTTTATCTTTAATTTAGTATTTGAATTTTAGTTGTAATTCTATTTAAAAATGAGTTCAAATCCTGATTCTGTTCGTGTTGTGTTATATTACAATGGTAGGAAGGTAGAAGGTCGACGAGGTGTCATATTCGAAGGTGAAAAAAGGCCGACACGTATCCAACGCAACACAACCATTGGCGAATTGCATCAGAGAATTCGGCAGAAGTTAAGTCTTCAAGACAACCAATGTATCACTGAGATCACGACAAGGGTGTGGCAAGGTGATAAATACATTAGTTTGAAAGTGCTTGACGATGAAGACTTGGAGATGACAATGGAAGAATTTTGCAACCAGTCAAAGATAGATTTTCTAGAGTTGTATGTCGACATCGTTGCAACGGAGAATGCTCCCATACTGGTGAGATCAGTTTATTTAATTCTCCCCGTCTTCCAGCTTCTCCTGCCACTGATGCTGTTAGTTACCGTAATATAAATCCGCAAAGAACGATAACCAAAACATAGTGAATAGTCCAAATAATATAATAATGTAGCGTCCACAATATAACAACATGCTACACTCATATGACATATACAAAAGAACAAAATAATAACAATATGAAACAGTCCACAACATAATGAATAAACAAAATGTCAATGAAACTAGGACCACGGTGGCCATGGCCTATGTCGTGCATCCCTATCTGGTAGTATACGTCTGTCCCAGACTGGGTCACCCTGATGGTCCTGTGGAGGTGGAGTGTGGAAGTCATCCATCGCCGCACGGATGAAATCATCTGATGGTCCTGCACTGCTGCCCGACACATCAAAAGGGGTGTGTCCCTGACTGTGAGAATCCGTGGCTAGAGTCTCCCCACTGTCATGGCTCTCTGCAACAAGGCCTACAGAGCGATACAACTCCATCGTGTCCTCTGCAGACCAAAAGGGGTAATCGGCATCAAGTCCCTGTGAATAGGGCTAGAAATCAGGCTGTGAGGATGCCGGATCCGCTCCTGCCATAGCCATCGGACTAGCCTGGAAAACTGGCTCCTTCCCGCTCATGTAAGGGTGCTCAGACGCTGCCTGACTAGGACCTGCCGCATACTGCGATCCGTGATGATAAATCGGCTGTGACCCATAAGTAGGACCAAATGCTGGAGGTCTAAACCATCCCTGAGTCTCGACCACTGGTCTAGGTGCTATAATCGGGACAGGCTCAGCAGCAACTCTCTCACGTGTACGTCCTAATCCCCGTCCCTCCCGTCTATTACGAGGAACATCCACGATCAACTGAGGATCAGGCTGAGTCTGCACGGGGGGCAAATGCGTCCTAATCCCCGTCCCTCCGTGATATGTAGCGCTTTCCCCTCTCTCTGAACCACTCCATGTACTCATGATTAGGTGACATCAAACCATATAATGGAGGTGGCAGTACAATATGCTGAATCCTAGTATTCCATCGATCAATGTGAGCCCTGAGCTTACGTCTCCAGTTCTCTTCAACCTTCCCCCGTAGAGTATGATCATGTATTCATCTCAATTTTCTAGATTTTTCCGGGATGGGTTGATTAAGACCAAACTGTCACATGCACCTATCCGGTTGACATGCCTCAACTGTGTGGAAGTAGATAATAGGTGTGGGAGCTAGCCACAGATACTGCTGCTCTGGAGTCACGTCAAGCCACTCATATTCTATATACGGCTGCCACACCACCTACAAACAAAATGTGAAACAATATATAGAGTTACAAAAAAAATAAACCCATAGACAAATAACAACACCGTAAGTATCTAACACCAAACCTCATCTCTACAGAGT